CAGAGGGAGGGGCTGGGGCTGAGTCAGAGGGAGGGGCCGGGACTGGGTCTGATCCAGAGGGAGGGGCTGGGGCTGGTCCAGAGGGAGGGGCAGGGACTGGGTCAAGCTCAGGGTCAAGGGTTGGGGCGGGGCCAAAGGGTCTTGTAAGTCCTGGGTCAGGGAGAGGCGTGGAGCCAGGCTGGCCTGAATCTGGACTGGCAAGGCATGGGAGAGCTCATTGAATATGACGGACGGGAGCTCCAGTGGCGGATCGGTCACCCTGACAGTGGCCACCAGGGACTCGCTGTGCAGAAAGGGGAGACCCCAGAAGAGCTGGCTGCATTTCTGCTCCAAATTGTCCCCTGGAATCTTGGGATGTGGGGCCTTCTCAGGACCGAGCATCTGTTTCGCTTTGCCCCTCATGCTCCAGAAGGGCGGGCAGCCCATGGTGTCCTGCCCATCAGCTGGGGACTTGAGCATTCTCCCGAAAGACGTCAGCTGGTATTTTGACCTTTCCTTATTTTCCTTCTCCTTCCAAAACTTCAGTTCTGTTCTCTTGGTGGTGAGTATCTCCAGAAGCTTCTGGACGTCCGGGTTGATGGAAGGCGGCATCCTAGTCTCTCCCTGTCTGTGTGTGGGGTCTCCCCAGAACAAGGCCTCTAGTGGGCCGTGGGACAGAGGCACTTGATGGGACTCCAAGCATGCGGAGGTGGACAGCTTCCAAGCATTGGCAGCCGCCTGCCACCAGGACAGGGCCGAAACGGGGTACCGTGAGCGGCCCAGACCCGAGATGGCTGGGCCAGGAGAAGCTGACCTGTCAGCTGGCCAGGGCGTGTGCGGAGCTAAGCTCTGTGGGATGGGGCACGGCGGGGGTGCCCTTGAGTCATTCTGAGGGAGAGTCAAAGGAGAGTCCGGCCGCTCTGGGGCCAAGGAGGCTGTCAGAGGCCTAGGGGAGGCCTCGGAAGGAGGGAGACATGGCGGGGAAGGGGGAAGAGCAAGGGGCTGGTGTGAAAAGCCATCCGGGGGGAGGAAAGGCTCTGCTGGCCAGGAAGTACTCAGGGAGGAGAGTGAACCGACAGAAATTGAGGAGGTCATTGGTCCTGATGGCAGGGTGGAGGCCAGAGGCCGAGGGGGGCCCGTCAGCGGAGCGTGGACAGGTGATGGGGCCACGGCGGGAGCAACGTCTTCCAGAGGCTCCCTGCATGGCTGACCGGCTCCAGCTGGCGCCCCTCGGTGCACCTGCCCAGGGGCTGCTTGACGTAAGAACTGGTGAAAGCCGCCCTGGTCAGAGAGCCTCGCCAGGTGGCTGCAGGGGACAGGAGGCGTGAGCTGCCGCTGCAGCAGCCGGGGCCGGGAGCGGTCCCCACGGCCCTCCACGCCCCACACCCATGTCACTATGCTCCTGCTATCCCTCAGCCCGGGGCTTTGGTCAGTCTGTCCCCACGGCCCTCCACACCCCACACCCATGTCACAATGCTTCTGCTATCCCTCAGCCTGGGGCTTTGGTCACACTCTGTCCCCACGGCTCCTCCCAGCTCCCCTGAACAGCCCCAGAGGCTGTTTCTTGCAGTGCGGGGGTCACACCATAGACTCGGGGAGGCCCACCCAGGGGAGGTAGGGGCAGATTCTTTACCTTTGCAGAAGGGAGAACAGGTCCTGAACCTCTTCCAGATCCTGTAGGCAATCTCTGAAAACTGGAAAGAGGAGACCGGGTCACAGAGGAAGGCAGGGCCCAGGTGTCTTACAGGAGGCTGGGTACAATGTCCCTTTAGGGGAGACCTTTGGGGGATTGGACTTGGAATCCCCAAAGAGCACTGTCCAAGGCCACGTGCCCGCACGGTGATTACAGGGTTCATGATGGGGATCACTTTGTCTTTTCCAAAGTGCTTCCTCGTTCATGACCGTGTTTGGGGAGGAAGGACCATATGGCATCACAGAAGAATCTGAGTGGAATTGAACAGCTTGTCCACAGTGGGAGCAGGAGGTCCTGCCCCCAGTCCAGGCCCTGGGGCCCCTGCAGGGTGACACCGTTTCCAGCCCCTCAGGGCTTTGTTCTGGCACAGAATCTGGGAAGCCTCCAGGTTCTCCTCTTCCTCCCAGGAGCCCCCAACCCCCGACCCCAGGGCTCTGTTTCCTGAGGGATGGGGTCAGGCCCTGGTGTCCTGGAGACGGTGGGGCTGGGCCCTCAGAGCAGGGGGCACAGTGTAACTGGGGCACGCAGGGTGAGTGGTGGACACTCACTCACCTTTCAGAGTCTGGTTTTTCTTCCTTCTGTTGCTCCTTCTCCGTGGCTCCACTTGGTACTGAGATAAGAGAAAACCGGGAGGCTGGGACTCCCACCCCAGCAGAAGGTGACCGGGTGCTCAGGGGCCTGACCTCTGCTAGAGAGGCAGCTCCTAACCTCCGGTCCTCGGCCACCGGTCACTGTGTTTGGGACACTGTCCTGCACCCCTCCACCACATCTGGACTCCGGCCTGAGATCTTTGGGGAGAAATCCTTGTGTCCCTCTAACCCCTGCTTGGTCTGGCTTGTCCTGGATGGATGGTGGTCTACTCTCTCCTGACAATTCTATTATTTCTCATCTCAGGAGTCTCTCCAGTGACTCAGAAAAGTGGAAAGAATAATAGAAAAGAAGATAGAATCACACTCTGCTGGGTCTGGGCTGAGGGTTCCTTACCTTCCTGCTCTTCCTGTGTTTCTTGTGTGTTCGTGAGGATGGATCAGGCTGGAAATAGGAAAGTAAGAGGAAGAAGAGCCCCAGTCCCCATACGAAGGCAAGGATGATATTAACTGCCCAGATAGTGGGACTGGAGCTCAGCCAACCATCAGTAAGGAATTCCTGAAGGAAAAGATAATTCTCCATCTCTTTCTTCTGAAAATCATTAGTGTCCAATCGCACTACTGCCCTCAGGCAACTGAGCCCTGAGAGTTAGCAACCGATCGCACTGCTGCCCTCAGGCAACTGAGCCCTGGGTGTGTATGTGCAGACACAAGCCTCATGCCCACATCACAGAGCTGTGGTCTGGTCACAAAGGGCCCTTGAGGGCAGGTAAGGGACACAGGTAGCTGGACCACATCCCCTCTCCACCGCCAGCCCGTAGCTCCATCATCCCTCCACCCTCCCAGGCCTGACACTCCTACCCGCTCACCCTGCTAGAGACAGATCTTTGTCAATTTGCCTTTCATCCTGCGTGGAGCTCAGAGAATACCTGTTCCCCTTGGGATCTCCATTTGGGCTCCATCAGTTTCATAGCTTTTAAAAATCTATACTTGTCCTTGGAATTTTGGTTAATTCCCAGGAATTTTGTCCTCTGTCTGCAGCTCCAATCTCCCCACATATTATGTTGTTGCCTTGCATGACCCTAGTACAAATGAAACTCAAATTTCTTTGTGCTTCTTGAGCCATGTGCACTTTGAAAACATCTTAAGATGCTTCATTTCAATTAATCTTCACTAACTTCAGCTAGAGGGACTTAGAAAGTTAATGATTATTCCAAATTTACAAAGCTAAGTAAGTACAAAACAAAGTGAAATAGTTAAACCTCCCAGGTATGTTTCTCAGTCATTTCTAATGTTTTTCCCTCTCAGATGAGCAGAGAGTAAACTGCTGAAACACTTTCACAACATTCTGTATAGGCACACTTGCACATGATCATGCACATTTCTTAACAAATCCAGCATGTTCAAATCTTGGATTCAAGGTTTTTTTTTTTTTCCATTTCAAAGATTTCCTTTAGTAATTTTTGTACGTTTGTGTATTTGGGAATATCTTTATTTTGCCTTCATTTTTGAAAGACCGATTTGCTAGGTATGGAATTCTGGGTTGACAATTTTTTTGAAAGACTTATTTATTTATTTGAGAGAGAGCGAGAGAGAGCGAGCATGCATGCACTAGCAGGGGGAGGAGCAGAGGGAGCGGGAAGGAGACCCCCCATTGAGCAGGGCCCCTGACATGGAGCTTGATCCCAGGACCCTGAGATCATGACCTGAACTGAAATGAAGATTCAGATGCCCAACAGAATGGGCCACCCAGGCACATGGACAAGTTTTTCTCGTTTAGCTTTTTGACTAGTGTCATTTCAGGGCCTTTCCCCCCTGGTTCTGGTTGGAAGTCAGTGGTTAATCTAATGCAGTCCTCTGTATATGAAGGGATGTTTTTGTCTTGCAATTTCAAAATTTCTCCTTTGTTTTTCCATGGTGTGACTGTGATGTATCTAAGAGCAGATCTGCTTGTTTTTATTTTACTGCAGGTAAATATTGATTCTATATTTAAGGGTTTTCCATCAAATTTGATAAGATTTCAGCCATTATTTCTACAAATATTCTGTCTTCATCCCCATTTCTCCTTTCTCTCTGAGAACACTCCTTTAAGTAGATAAGAACTTCCAAATGAGTCCACATTTCTCCCAGGCTTGCAGCTAACTGTTACTCAAAAGCCCAAGTTTCTCAATATTCGTGTCAGTGTCTAGAAAGTAGCTTCAGTTCTGAGAATGTCTTGGGTATGGAGTGTTTTGCTGACATCATGGGAAGCTGCCTGTGTGATGATGTCATGCCGCGCCCATGGGCTCTGACTGTCGTGGGGCTGTGAGTTAGAACCATCGCTTTGGAAAATGCTTCATCATGACCTGGTCCAAGCTGAAGAAAGCAGGCCTTTTGAAAGAGGGATTCTGCTGCTAGAGCTAGAGAAAACCCACCATTTTGTAGTAATAAAAAATGGGGACCACCCAGTCCCGTCGAGTGGAAGGTATGTGCTCTGCAGTATTGTGCTTAAGTTACAATGAACTACAGCGAAACATCGTAAGGGTAAATTATGTAAACATGCTACTGAGGAAGAGGTAAAAGTGACTTGCAGAAAAATTGTGCAGGACGGTTGCATTTGTTCTAGTTTCAAAACTATGCAAAATCAAATATGATTTAGCGATGCATTTACTTTGGTAAAAATATAAAGAAAACACAGAGAATAGTGAACAGGACTGATGGATGGGGGAGGGATGTACAGACAACTCTAAAGATGTGGATGATACCACATTTCTTAGAAAGGTTGGGATGTCTACCATGGGTCACCCCCAGCTTTCTCACGATGCTAAGTGCTGACTGTCCCTTCAGGTGGTACATAATATCAGAAATGGAAAATAGTATTTAAACTCTTCAAAGATTATTGCTTTAATAAAAATGTACAATTTACTTAACAATTCTGAGCTCTGGCCCTCTCCCTAAACAGACCCGGGAAGGTAAGCTGTAGTCCATGGCTTGGCCCCTGAGCTATATCCATAAGTAGACAGCACCCCACAGACACCACCACGGTCACAGCCAAATTGACATCCAGCCCTGTTGCCCAGAAATCCTGAAGAACCAGACATCGCCTTACCAGCGCATTCTTTGATGCCAGGTTCATTGCTCCTGCCAGTTTTCATGTTCATGCTCTATGTAACGGCATTCATTCCATATATGTGCCATAAATATTCAGAAGAAACCCAATGAGTGTTTATGAGAAGATGTCCTTGGAAATACTTTCCAAGGGAACATTTTTTAAAGGCAACAGATCCCCCCCCCCCCACGAGTTTGGCATGTTTTGGAGGATGGGTTGTTCTCCACTCTCTTCATTATCATTTCAAAATCTGAGATGCCATGGTGACTCATTGGCCTTTCACTTTGTTTAACTCTGCAGCCTTTCTTATTCTTTTTATAAAAAGATTTATATATTTATTTGGGAGAGAGTGATAGAAAGCACAATGGGGGGGGGAGGAGCAGAGAGAGAGAGAGAGAGAGAGAGAATCTCCAGATGACTCCCTGCTAAGTGCTGGTTAGCCAAGCTAACCCTGAGATCCTGACCTGAGCTGAAATCAGGAGTCAGGCCCTTAACCCACTGAGCCATCCAGGTTGAGTATCAGCCAGCCACGTTTATTTATTTGTTACGCATCTCCAACCTGCTCAATCTGACCCACTTCTTATGCTGATCAGGGAGCTAGTCAGATCTCCCAATCCATCCTGGGAACAGCTGATCCCAGAGCCATGTGCCCTGGACCCGGTGTGAATTCCAGTGTGAGTCACCTGGCTTCTGAGCTTCCTAACCAGGCTCTTCTCCATGAGAGGATACTGTGCTAGCTCGGGGGTGAGAGTCATTCTTAATAATCACAATTGTGGCTGACACTGCTATTCTTTATGCTCAGGCTTATGCTGAGTGTGTGACAGATGGTCCATCAGCAATTCCACAAAGGAAAGAAAACCACGGCTGAGCTCTTCAGAGGGTAGCTCTCTGCCAGAGGATCAAACCCAGACTGGCTTGCTCAGAGTTTGGGGAAACCCAGCATCTTGGCTCCATTGCCTCCAGGAGAAGCAAATCCCATGCTCATGTTTTGTTGATGTCTGGTTGTATGTCCCTTCTTAGTTGCAGTTGTGTATGTTTCTTATTTGATTAATTTTATTCTTACGATCACTTTGCCTACTACTTCATGCAGTTACTGGATTTTCATTTTGTTTCTTTTTTTTTTTTTCTGGGTTTTGGTATATAGCCTAGTCCTTTTCTATACTTTCTTTGAAGGTGCTTGTTGAGAGTTTACTACAGACTTCTATTAGAATCTTTATAATTAATAACCAAGGCATATCCCAATAATTTCTGAGTAAATATGATGCCCATCTTCCATTCTTTATTTTCTTAATTACAAATGAGAAGTACTTTCTGTAGTAGGGTTTTAGAATGTGTGTGTGTTTGTGTTTACTGAGAGAGAAAAAGAGAGATAGAGACAGAGATAGACACAGAAAGAGAGACATTTATTTTAAAGAATTTGCTGACTGTGAAAGCTGGCATGTTTGATTTCTGCAGATTGGTGGCAGACCAAGCTGCTGTGTCAATTTGAGTCTGAACCCTGCCTGGAGGCAGAACTCCTTCACACTTGGGGGACCTCAATCTTTTCTTTTAAGGCCTTCAATGATTAGATGAGGCCCACCCACATTATGGAGCATAATTTTTTTTTTCAATATTTAAGTGAAAATTACATATAAAATAATATCTTTGCAGTTACATCCAGATATGTATTTGATCAACTATCTGGGTCCTCTGGCCTACACAAGTTGTCACGTATAATTAACCATCACAATTAACCCTTGTCAACTTAGGACCCATACACATCTCTTCAAGTCATGCTTAATTTCCAAATAAAGACAATAACAAGGTTATACTTCTGTCTATCATGATGCAACTATCTTACATACAACTTAGAATGCACTAATACATCCCCTAGCAGAGGATACAAAGTCCTTGGAGATGTTC